TCGGTTGCGAAAATTGAAGCAAATAATTAATTGTAATTTGCCTTTGCACCTAAAAATACAAATGACTATTTCAATTAGTAATTAATATAATTAAAATCCATCAATTAATCCCTTACTGTATTTAACATTTGTGATGTTGCGTCATGCCGATTACTCATCCTGTATGGATTTTTCACCCATTGCTTGTGTAAAGATTCGTATGTTTCCGTTGTGAAGCCATTAATAGCACTATAGTTTTTAATTGCTGCAATAACGTGATAATTCCAGTTGTGTAATTTTGGCAACTGCAGTTGTGAAGGGGAAAATGGGAACAGTAATTTTGTGAATCCTTTTGACCATTTAATAATAAGCAACTATAAAAAATTTGTATATTAGTATCATGTTATTACGTTAGTATGCAAATTTCATAATTGCATATATACCTTAAAGGTTTTTAGATTTGATTCAGTAAATTCATCCTTGTGTGAAAAAATATACATTTAGTTCCAATCAACATATAATTAAACCAATTGTTTGTCCATATTCTTAGCCTGATTTATAGTGTAATTAGGCTTATATAATATAACAATAATACCATCAACAACAAATACAAGTTGTTGCATCATCGATCAAAACTCTGCTGCTGTAAAACGTTTAATATGACCCAACCCATGTTTAAATAGCTTAAGCCCTGAAAAGCGAGGAATTTTTGCTAATTAGTTATCAAACTCTATTACACCATTCGGACCACACCACTCCACTAGCAATTCTCGTGTATATTCAACTTGATATTTATATAAGCCTAGATCCAAATGGTGCATTCGATCAGGCATACAAGCCTGATATATGTTAAGTTGCCTAGAACATGAAAATATAGTTAAATTCTAAATACATACAATATAATATAGAATTAAATTAATAATACTTACGGTAATTTCCAGAAAATATTTTCTATGTTGTGTAGTGGGTATTCTGTATTAGTATCATTCCTTAACACATTTTGCATCATTTCGGGTGTGCGTAATTAGATCATTGATTGATCCATTAATGGATTGTTAAAGTCATTTTTTGGTGTTATACACGAATAATACGGCATTTAACAGTTAGCCGAATTAAATGTCAACGTTATAATGTGGTGTTTAGGCAGATCTCCAAGTAATTTGGATAGAAATGGATAACACCACAACATGCTATCATTAGTACGTAAATCAATACCTCCCATTGACCCTGATTTAATAGGTTCGATGAGAACTTCCATTGAGTGTTGAAAAAGGTAAAGTTTTGCCATGGTGAAGTCCGACTGTTTTTTATATTCTTCATTTATCTTGATTCTAGGTAAATACGCCAACAAAACCTTCGCATCTGATTTACTTCGATGCCAATTCGAGATGTTGCCTAATGTTAGATATATTGGATATTCTGATGTCTTTCTGAGTACATCACATGTTGTAGCATCTGAATAGAGGATTATAGAAAGCACCTTAGCACCTTCACTGATCGATATCTGAGTCTGACCCCACTACTCACTATTGTATTGTTCTTTGTAACACCTCTCGTTTTCACCCTATCATTTGTTATATAATTCGGCATGTAATCGAATACGCAGTATTTGAATATATCTTCATTATTTAACAACTCTTTGATGGTATCGTAAATTGTTCAATGATGAAGTGTATATTGTATTTGATTGTACTCCATAATGATCGTTTTTCTATAGAGAATGTGGGGAATTTGAATAGAATCTAACAATTTTCAGGCCGATTTAGCATTTGAAGATAAAATTGCTGCTGGACCCATATGAAAGGTATTAAATAGACAAATAATGTTATTTGCTACAGAATCGGAAAGGCGATGTTGGGTAAGCAGTTGTACAAATGCTTCATATGCTGGATTCGGGAATGATGGTATTGTATTATTTGTTTCTTGAATTTTTTGAGCTGACTTAACGTCTACAATGGTCGAAATAGATAGACTTTCGTCTTCTGTAGGCCATAACAGAATATAATCATGCACCTGATTCTCAACGAGGGCCTCGTCTTCTTTATTCTCATTTACTTCGCCATGAATTTCACTTCGATTTTCTTCATCTTCATCCTTATTTACTTCACCATCAATTTCACTTCGATATTCTTCTTCATTTGTATTGCCATCGAAAAAAACCTCATCCTATAATTCACATTATGTTGTTAGTTATTTATTGCAATATACGAAATATGGAAAATACGTATTATGACAAAATTTACATAACTTGTTCAATGTGACATTGATTATCTTCCTCTGATGGATTCGTAAGGTAATTAGTTGGAATAGGTGTTAAAATATTTTCTTGAAAGATATTTCCAATAGTAGTTGTCGTAATCTCATCCGTATCAACACTAATATTGCGAGAGAGTTCATTTTCGTCTAAATACATCTGGTCTCGATGTGATCGAAGATGGTTTCAAAAAGCACCACATCTACTAAATGACTGCGAACAATAATCACATTGAAATATATTTTTATTTTTCGTTGAAATATTTGTTGATGTTTTTTTCATAATTGTTGGTGAGAACAAATGATTTTCATCAAATTATATAATGATTTTCACATGATAGATGTACGGTCCCCTATACGCACGGACCCAAAATGAGTTAATTTTATTTATCATGTGATTCTTATCCAAGTAGTCGATTTTAATAATAACGACTTATATAAATACTTTAATTAATACAAAAAATATACTTTATTAATCAAACTTTTTTTACAAAAAGTATATTTTGCTAAGTAAATAGTTGGTTTTATCTGCAATAAATTATTTAATTATTTGGAGTTTCATCTTTACTAAACTTAAATTTTCGTCTAAAATATTTTTTTTATCTTAATGTTTATACCATGTTACCTTCTACCCAACACAACATTAAGAAAATCGCAATACCTGAAGAAAACCCTTTAAACGATACTCTTGCAGCGCTTGCACCTATTAGAACCACTCGTCAGCTTCATTCCGCCTCTCGTTTCAATCCACTTAGAGCTAGCACTTCTCAACCAAACAAGTCAAATTCTAAGGTAATGAATGGGATATAAGTTAAACAAACATGATATTATATTTTTAAGTATAAAGAAGATAAGCGAATATTGGATGACTACAAAGATTAATATTCTATGAACTTTATTCATTATTGCTAAGATATAATTTTTGAAAGCTATTTATATCATTATCGGTGGTCACTATAACTAACAGATTTTTCTACTAAAAAGGATGGCAATAGACATAAGAAATATAGAATACAGCATGATTCTAGACTTTTCAAGCTCTCTGAATCCTTCGAGCTCCAATTGAAGGCCGTAGAAATTACGGTATCATCTCCAAAGAAATTACCAGCTAAAGCAAGAGAAGATTTCAATGTAGAAACTTCAAAAATTGATACGACCAAGAAAAGTCACGGGTTGAACCCTTTGCCCATGGTTAATAAAACTTATGGATCGAAGGTAATGTTAAATAACATTGATGCATATTTAGTTTTCATATGTGGTCTGATTGATATTACATTATGTTCTATATTTATTGAATATTTCAGGATAATATCAACACAACGAATAAACGCTATGAATTAACGATTGAAAAGCAAGGTTACAAGTGGAGGAGTGATGTCGATATCAATTATATAGCAAAATGTTAGTATGATGCAATCTAATTTATTGCATATTCTTCGCAGGCGTTCAAAAACTTATAAAAGCTCAGCGTAAAGAGGATTTTCCTAGAATGATGCAACAACCAAGCCTATACAAATTATGAACATATTAATGATAATAAAACTCATCACAAAATTTTGACTGATGCTCAGGAAATGATTCGGATATCTGGACAAGCTATTGGATATTTCTGATATAACAAAATTTAAGCATTTACATTTACTAATGTGCTATGCTTTTTAGCAAGGAATATTGACATAATTATTTTTTCAAAAGACAGGATGCACATTTACATTTGCTTTACTTTTTACATGGTTGACAAAATTATACAATACTACATATCTTCATAGATTCGAAAGGCTTATGTTAATGGATCATGTTTTCTCTATAATATACTGTAGTACCTCAGCTTAATGAGAAAGATGCTATCGTATTGAATAAGGCTATGCAATATTTCTAGAAGGCATTTGATGAAGCTCTCATGACCAAGGAAACGGTACTTCGTATTGAGGCTGTTATAAACGAATTTATAAAAGAACAAAAGGCATCCAAAGATCTTGATATGAAATCAAATGAATGTCCTATGGATTATAAAAAGATGTCTGGTAAAAACACACGAAAGAAGACATTTTGGTATAATATAAGTATTATTATATTTTGATTACTTGTTTAAAATCCATTTTTCTTATTTATTATACTTATCTATTTAGCAGACTTTGACTAAGGCATGCTTCGAACTTTTCTAAAAAGATAAAAATCCTACTGATGATATTATGCATGATACTGTTTATAATGCTTTGGTTGAGGAACATCCTGATGAAATCACAAAAATTGAATGTGCTAAAGGCGGTTGGAGCAAGTACTGGACAGAAGTACTTCAATCAATGGTATATTTTTTTAACCGATGATGATATTCATAAATTATAGTAAAATTGTAATACTAATAATAATAATGAATTATAGGCTTGTGGTGAATTTCGTGTTAAGCGTGCTAATTATGTCTGAAATATCAAGAATGCAGTAATCAATGTCTTTGGCAAGGCTTTTATTAGAGATTTTCCCAGTCACAAGGCAACAACTGAAGAAGTTTTAACATGAAAAGCTACACAAAATATAAAATGGACGAATGATCACCTTTGGAGTGAAGTAGATCTGAATTATAACGATTCATATGATACTTATATAAATCGTATTATTAAAGATGTGTTGAAAATAAATGAACGTACTGCTAATAACTGTGTATTTGTTATTGCTATTATTGATCTCATGTTTGATTCTAATATCAAAACTGTAACACTTTCTGGAGAATTGATATTTCGACGCATAACTGATAGAGCCAAGAAACAAGAGATAGCTTTAACAACATCACAAAAGAAATCGATCACTCAAGAGGTATTTAAAAACTTTATGATTAGACAAATCAATTATAATTGCTTATAGAGTTTTATATTTCATTATATTAATTAGAAAGAAAATGAGTTTATCGAATTGGATGGTACTTATGATGATAATGAAGATATGATTTCTAGTTCAGATGACAATGACGAATAGAAGATCAATATATACTTTATTAATAATAATATAATTTTTATTGTAATTCACCAACGAGCAATGTACATCATATAAAATGTTTATTTTAATAATGCACATTATATATAAATAACTGTTTTTTAGTAATATACATCACATAAATACTTTTTTAATAATGTACATCATATAAATGTATATTATGATGTTTGATAAATGGTATAATGTACACTATTTTTTATTGATGTACATAAAAGATGATGTTTATTGGGATAAACATTATTTTTAAAACTTTCTGATGAATGTTTTGTTTTAAAAGATTTAATCTTCCCAAATGTTTAAGGTGTTTACTTACTTATTATGGTAATTGTCAAGATTCTAATTGCTAAAAGTATTTCAAAAAATGAGGAAGATGCAGATTCTAAATTATTTCAAAATTTCGATTCTTTCACATGATTTTGATATGTCGATTATTTCATGCGATTTGCATATATAATTAGTACTCTCCACTTGAGACGTTTTTCTCCCTCTCACTTAAATAAAAATTTTCTCACACTATATTATTATTCATAAACGCATGTAATAGTTCTTTTATCTTTTACATAATTTTTCATCTCTTAATCTATTAAGAGAAAACCTTAACTCCAAATGAAACGAAATGAAAAAGCAAAACGAAAAGTGAAACCTGAAACGTAAGCAAAATTAAGGTCTTTTTCGTATCAAGTCTATAATAGGTTGTGGTTAGAAATAGCAAAAAAGGAGCAAATAGAAAGCAGTAATTATTAGGTGAAAGGTACTTATTGCGTATGACGATGAATAAAAATGAAAATCATAAAAGCGAAACAGAAATGAAAGCAAAACAGAAAGCAAAAGCGAAAACTAAGGACTCTTTCACGTCAAGGTCCATACTTATTGGAAGAAAAGGTACTTATTGTGCTCGATGTTACTTGGTATTGAGTAATCAAGTTTTAATAATACACTGTATATTATGAGTTAAAATCACTCACACATTAGCCTTCTCTTTTTCTTTATTTTTAGGTATTAACATCAAAGACAAGTAGTTTCTTTCGACTGAAAAAACGAAACCAAAATCGAGAAATAAAATTAAAAATGAGAACTGAAGCTAGAGTACACTTTCGCGTCAAGGGTCCAAATCAAAAATTGCTAGGGGAAAAGGTACTTATTGCGCTCAATGTTACTTGGTATTGAGTAATCAAGTTTTAATGATATTTTGTATATTGTGAGTGGAAATTACTTACACGTTAGCCTCTCTTTTCTTTATTTTTAGGAATTAAAATAAAAGATAGATTTCTTTTGATTGAAAGACGAGAATTAAAGCCTAGAATCGAAGCTGAAAGTGAAAATTGAAGCTAGAGAATACTTTCACATTAATAATCTATATCAGATATTATTAGAAAAGTACTTATTGCGCTCAATGTTACTTGATATTGAGTAATCAAGTTTAAATGATACTTTGTACATTGTGAGTGAAATCATTCATGTATTAGCCCTCTCATTTATTTATTTTTAGATATTTACTTCAAAGATAGGTAGCAAAAATAAAAATTGTAACCAGAGATCTCTTTTGTGTTAAAAGGTCTATACTTTTTGAGAAAAAAGGTACTTATTGCGCTCAATGTTACTTGATATCAAGTAATCAAGTTTTAATGATACTCTGTATACTGTGAGTGGAAATCACTCATGCATTGGCCCACTCTTTTCTTTATTTTTAGGAATTAAAATGAAAGATAGATTTCTTTCGATCGAAAGATGAGAATTGAAGCTTAGAATCGAAGCTGAAAGTGAAAATTGAAGTCAGAAGACACTTTTGCGTCAAGGATATATATCAGAAATTTTTAGAAAAAAGATACTTATTGCGCTCAATGTTACTTGGTATCAAGTGATCGAATTTTAATGATACTCTGTACATTGTGAGTGGAAATCACTCACGCGTTGGTCCTCTCATTTTTTTATTTTTAGGTATTAACATTAAAGATAGATAGGTTTCTTTTGACCGGAAAATGAGAATTAAAGTCAAAAATCAAAGTAAAAATTAAAGCTAAAGGACACTTTTACGTCAAGGATCTATATCAGATATTACTGAAGAAAGATACTTATTGTACTCAATGTTACTTGGTATTGAGTAATCAAGTTTTAATGATATTCTGTATATTGTGAGTGGAAATCACTTACGCGATAGCCTTCTCATTTTTTATTTTTAGGTATTTACATCAAATATAGGTAGGTTCCTTTTGATCGAAATACGAGAATTAAAGCCGGAGGACACTTTTGCGTCAAGGGTTCATATCAGAAATTACTGGGGAAAAGATACTTATTACGCTCAATGTTACTTGGTATCAAATAATTAAGTTTTAATGATACTCTGTACATTGTGAGTGGAAATCACTCACAAGTTGACCCTCTTATTTATTTATTTTTAGGTATTTACTTTAAAGATAGGTAGGTTCCTTTTGACTAAAAAACGAAGCTGAAGCTGAAAAGTGAAGCTGAAAAGTGAGAATCAAAGTCAGAGGACACTTTCACGTCAAGGGTTCATGTCAGAAATTACTAAAGGAAAGGTACTTATTGCGCTCAGAAATTACTGGGGAAAAGGTACTTATTGCGCTCTATGTTACTTGGTATCAAGTAATTAAGTTTTAATGATACTCTGTATATGTAAGTGGTGAAAGGGTCCAAGGAATAGTTCTGTTAGATAGACGTGTAATGCAGATTTTTGAGTAATCACTCACGCGTTAGCCCTCTTTTTCCCTTAATTTTTAGATATTTATATCGTACATAAGTTTTGAGATTGAGAACGAAAAGTGAAGCTGAAGACAAAGCTAAAAATGAAGCCAAAAAGAAAATAAAGGATACATAATATCAAAGATAAGAACGGGAAAATAAAAATATGAAACTAAAAGAATGAGAAAGATGAAAAAAAAGAAATAATAATAATAAAATAAATATACGATTTTTTTTTTGAATAAGCTGGGAAGAAGCTAAATAATATGATCCACAACAATCAAATCTATCTAAAAAATAAAATATTTAATGAAAAAATTTGCTGATGTAAATTAAAGCGATCAAACAAAAGACCTAAAAAAAAATGTAAAAAAAAAAACCAAATCATCAATCAAACGCGAAAAAGACCCAAATATTAAAGAAAAAAAATTATCTATTCTTACAAAAGTGATAAAACAGAGCAGATAAAAAGCTAAAAAAATAAGATAAAAAATTCCCGATTTAATTAAAAAAAGAATATAATTAAACTTTTATAAATATGCATAAAGTAAAAGTATAAAATACTTTGAAAATGTATAAATCTTATCTAGCCAATTAAACTAGTTCAATCAGCGCAGTAGTAGAATATAATAAACTTTTTTATGCTAATTAACTTAAAGGCAAACTGGGATTATTTGTAGATACACCCAAGTCAGACAATGCAATACCTTTCCTATCGGCGAATTCCTGAATCTATTTTTTTGTTAAAATTAACATGATAAATGGATTCGTCTTCTAAAATCATTTTCAAAATCCACGATCAAGCGAGTTATAAGTCACATAGCATTATTTTCGGCGTTGGGACGATGTTAACCCGATTTTTGAACCGAAACCAGATTAACCAACAAAGGATTTAAATCTAACTCAGCGTTTAAGAAAGATTTATTCAACTTTATTTCTTAATACGATTCTTGTGTGTAGTTGGTTATCATATATGGAGACACGATAAAGTTTTGAAAGGGTAAAGATAGAATTTTATTAAACTTCAAGATTTCGGAAGTCTCATCATCAATCCTATTCTTTAATCAAGGCGGATTTTTACAAAAAATTCTAAATACTAACTTTTTCCAAATAAAATAAATATAACGAATATAGCTAATACAGTATAATAGAAATAATTAATAAAACAATAACGAATAAAGTAAAATAACAACTAACTAAAATTAACAATTCTAATTAACTTAAAATATTTTAGCATACATATTTAATATAAACATACATGATGATATTTTAACATTTTTCCGCAGTTTCTGCGCCATTCGTAAATCGCCGATTTCTTATAACACCGGTCTTTTTTGGACCAGAATGGCATTTTAAATTATACACTTGCTTAATTTAGTAACCATTAATTGACCGCGTGACGGACCGATAGGTCATATGATAGGATCGCAAAAAATTCTCTGTGAACTTGAATAAAAAGCAATTCAATAAATAAAAGAATATTCTTTTTGATCGGGTTATAAGAAACAAAATATTCTAAAAAGACGATTTATTTTATTTTGTTGCAATGGGCGATAGGAGAAAAAAGCTTGAAGAATTGGTAGCTAAACGTAAAGTAGCTGACGAATCTAACGAAGGAGATAATGACAAGTTTGGTTATTTTTTATTCGTGTTTTATTTTTAAAAATAAAATAAAAAAAAAAAGTCTCGGGGTTGTGAAATATTTTTAACATGGTACATTTCAATATTTTTTTTTAAAAAAAATATCAAGTAAAAAGAATAAGCCAAAACCAAAATCTAATGCGGCGGCGCCTGCGAAAGCAAAGTCACAAACTTCTCCTGCCACAAAACCTAAGCAACCTTCACCTTCTGCAGCAAAATCTAAAGGGGGTAGACCAACACGTCAGGACCAATATGAAGAAGATGGCTTCATCGTGGAAGAAGAAGAAGGTATTATTATAAATGTTCGATCAAATTTATGGCATCATTATTTAAAATATCACTTGAATTTTCTTATTTGTACGCGTTAAACGAATAATTTTCTAAAATATTAAGAATATGTTGGCTAATTTTGAATAAAAATAGAGGGAGAAGAAGAATCAGAAACTGAAAGTGGTTCAGTGTCTGAAGCGTTTAGTGTATCAAATGAATCATCCGAATCTGATTCTGACGACAGCAAAAAGAAAACGAAGAAAGGCAGCAAACAAAAACAAAAAAATAGCAAACCTAAAGTATTATAAAATAGATATATTAATTTCAATAATTTTTAATTTGTATAACTGAAAATTATGGTTAACTTTTTTTCTTATTATAATTGTTAGCAAAAGAAGAGGACAACAAAAAGAAAAAAGGATGAGGATAGTGACGATGATGATGATTCCGAAGATGATTCAAAGAGAAGATCTCATAAGAAAAATAAAAGGGAATCAGATTCAGACGATTTTGAATTCTTAGACGATGATGTTCAAGCGATTGATACAAGTTTAATCATAAAGGAACGAAGGACGAGAGGAAAAAAGATAGATTTTACAGGAATGGTAAAAATATTACGAAATTATTATTTAAAAACGTTCGACTATTCGTAAATTAAATTTTACTTTCGTTATAATTTAAATGATATTTAGGATCCTTACGATGACAAATGATTATTGTGATACAAAAAAAGAACCTTTTTTACTCTCCCAGTTAAAAAGAAAAGATTTTCATATCATTGTCAAATTCTTATTTTTTTTTTTGAATCAGTTTGAAATGCTATTTTAGATAGATGAGTATTGTCTTTTACGTTCAAGGAAGTTCAATTATAAATAGGATTAAGAAAGGAACCATCTTAAGATAATGAGAGAATAACGTTTTTCGAAACAAAAAAGATAAATAAATAAAAACAAAAAAAAAAAATTAAATATGATCAATTAGCTAGCACTCAAATTTAATACAGTTTCATGTAAATCTGTAATTAAAGATTCTATTAATAAATGCATCAAAATAATTACTTGACTATTCTATAAAGTCACGGTTCTGTAAAGCTCACGCTATCAATGAAGGCTATATAGTCCGTTTTACACCTGAATAAACTAAAGAGAATATTCGGTGATCCCTATCATTATACACAATATGTTTCGAGCCAGATATATAAATTACTCCTTTAACAGTAACGAAAAAGTTGGATGCGTTTCCAGACATGACTTAACATACTTGAACTGACCAGGATCACCGACTTCTTGATCGAAATATATTTACAATCGCCTATACTTACTAGGAAAATACTGTAAATGGGATCATCAAATTCGTGTAACCACAACACTACAATTCGAAGAAATTTAAATCACGAGCATTGGGATCGTAGTTTAAATTGATTAGCCAATAAAAGATGGTTGACTAAAATTCTTATATATTAGCATGTGATTGAGAAGCAATATATTCGGCAGATCATTAAATTGATTATTATCTATTTAAAAAAATGTCGGGTCAAGACAAAACATCAAATTCTTCTACGACCTCATTAACTTCCAGTACCGCAAATACGCTAACCTCGGCTTTTAATTCTACAACTTCGGCGTTTACCTCAACGATTTCTTCATTATCAAGTGTTTTACCTACTTCCACTTTCACCTCCTCTCAGCCAAATACACAACTGCAATCTCAACAACGACAAGAGTCACCTTCCTCGTCAACAAGAGCTCGTAAATCAACAATACCTTCTGCCCATTCTGAAATAAGAAGACAATCTTCATTTACTAGTGATAGTAGCGGAAATAAACCTTCTCATAACGTTAATAAATTAACTGAAGAAATGTTTAGCAAAGTTGGTGAATATCTAAAGGGAGAAATTTTAGGTATTTCATATATATATATATATATATATTTATTTATTTATTTTATTTTTTATTATTTTTTTTTGTTGATTGCAGAGTTTTGATAATTTATATCAATTGTTAAATAAAAATATATATAGCTACGACAGAAGATTATAAATTATTAGAAACAATGAATAAAGTTACCAGAGATAGATATAAGGAAATGTCTGGAATGGCACAAAATTTAGTAGTGGAAATGTCTAAATTACAAAGGATTTGTAAGTTATAGGAAATAACTATTAAAAGATAAATTACAATTACTTTTTTTAAAAAATTTGGTTATTATAGATTCAGATTTTGAACCTTACGTTCAACAAATTGATGAAATTTGTGAACAAGTGGATTTTTTGGAAAAGGTTTCTGTAGAGTTAGATGAATATTCAAAAGAATTAGGTAAGTCTTAACTTTAATGGATAATACATTGAAAGAAATATGTTTAAAATAATTAATAATTCTCTTTTAGAATCGCGTTTAAAAAAATTAAAATGATTATGTTACAGAAATGTGTTGGAATTAGAATATTAGAAAGGTTTTTTATTATATATATATATATTTTTATTGTATTCGTAGGTTAGCATTAAACTAAGATATAGCAATTTATCTAAAATAATTTTAATAATCATTTTTAAAAGCAATGGCTCTTCTCCTCATACACATTATTGAATTGTAATTAAAATTATTCACCAAATTCCCCAAAAAGATTCTAATTCACAGCAAAATTTAGAACATGCAACTGCTGCTGAAAGAGGATATTGAGAAATTCCAATTTTCTCATCTATCCAATTGTCAGCGAAGTCATCATTACCATGAGCCATAGCCCCGACGACAACACAAATTGAATGATCAGAGGGTAAAGTTGGCAAATATTGGGAAAGACGAACAGGTTGAGCATCATATGAAAGTGCTATTCGAATCAAAAAAAAAAAATTATTAAATTTCGTATTGAAACAATTTTTTTTTTTCAAAAGACTAAGATTTAAAATAAATAGATATCGTACTTAATTTAACACAATTTGTAGGAAGATAATTTGTAATGGGGTTTTTTATAACTCGTAATAATTTTTCGTTTCCATCCGCCGAACGAATACACAATTTATGAAGAAGTTGTACTTTAGAAAAAAAAAGAAATTAATTAGATGTTTTAATTTTAATTCATAATTAAAAAAATACAAATCAAATTTACCCATCAACCCAGAAAAACGTTTGAACGTTCTTGGTATTCTAACATGAGGACTGACTTCAATTAATACACCATTTACCGTGTGAATATAAATTTGCATTAATCCAGCTTTATTTAAAGGACTATCCAGTAAGGCCATTAAACACTAAAAATAAAAATAAAAAAATCAAAAATTAGATGAGGGAGTTTTTTGAATGATTACGTCAACTTCTTTCTACCAAATTAGAAGTTGAAAAAGTTAAGAATAATAATTTAGTAGAATGGAAGAAAACGAGAAGAAATTGGTTACTTGATGTGTTATATCTGGTCTACAAATCTCGCTTCCTAACTTTCTTAAAGTTGCTTGATGGTCATCGCCATTTGCTAATTGGTATTGTGATGGTTTAGAATTAGAAACTTTAAAGGTTTTTAAATCTGCTTTATCCAATACAACGATTAATCTACGTGTCGACTCTTTTTCTTCAAGAGTTTTAGGAAGCTTCGGAACTTGTGGAACAAGGTAAACATCGGTATTCACATGTAAATTCTTCGCATAATTATCATTTTTTATCTCGTCTTGCGTAGTAGATATAATATCATCAGTTTGAGTAGCTACTGAAACTTTATTAACTCCTTCGTTATTGGAAGTCTTTTTTCGTGTTATCTGTTTTGAGCTTTCTTCGTCTGAACTGCTGGTATAATAAGCATAATTATTAACAGTTGAACTCTCTTCATGTTTGGTCTCTTTAGCTTCTTTCTTAAGCTTTTTAAAGACTCGTCGTTGTTTGGTTCGTGTCATGTTTTATCTAAAATCAAAAACGTAAAATTAAGAAATACGATCTATATTATCATGTGATGTGTCTGCACGTGATTTTATCAACGTGATATTTATCAGACTATAATAAATCGAAAATCTTTTTAATCAAAACGTTCCTCCTTTTTTTCTTTCCGCTCTTGTCATCAATAACGATGGTGAGTTTTTGATCAATCCATCGTATTTATAATGGAATACTATAAAGTGATGTTAATTTATATTTAAGGATTTAAATTATCTTTTTTTGAATAAAAAGAATTCGCAAGTATCAATATCTTATTTGAAAAGAAAAAAAAAAAAGTTTAAATGTGTATTAGGAAAATAACTTGTTCGAATAATTCATCCAATTTTATTGGAAGAATTAATTAACGAATTAATTAGATTTATTTGATAATTCTTTATACTGACATGAATACTTTAATTTAAATTGTCAGTCTGCGGCTATAAGACCCGAAATCAATATTTACTCCGAGTCAGGAGATAATTGTATCGGCACTCATGTACTTCCGGCTGTTTTTAAAGCTCCAATTCGTCCTGATATTGTGAGAGTTGTTCACATGAACATCTCAAAGAGCAATCGTCAGCCTTATTCAGTTTCATCAAAAGCTGGACATCAAACTTCAGCTGAATCCTGGGGTACCGGTCGTGCTGTTGCTCGTATTCCTCGTGTGTCTGGGGGCGGTACTCACCGTGCTGGACAGGTGATAAAGCATGATCGATTTAATGAATTATTATTATTAGCATATAAAATCGAATGTAATTTAAAATTAATTTAAATTTTTTTTTTTTTCACTCTCACACACACATCAATATCAAATGTTAGGGTGCTTTCGGTAATATGTGTCGAGGTGGTCGTATGTTCGCACCAACCAAAATTTGGCGTAAATGGCATGTAAAAACTAATTTGAATCAAAAAAGATTTGCTATAGCATCAGCTTTAGCATCATCATCAATTCCATCACTTGTAATGGCAAGAGGTCATCGTGTTGAAGAAATTCGAGAAGTACCACTTGTAATTGGTAATGGTATCGAATCCTTAGCCAAAACCAAAGCAGCAGTAGCACTTCTTAAAGCCGTTCGTGCTTATAGAGATGTAGTAAAAGTTTCAAATTCTCGTAAATTAAGAGCTGGTAAAGGTAAAATGCGTAATCGTAGACATCGTCAACGGAGAGGTCCACTTATTGTTTATAACGAAGATCATGGTGTCGTTAAAGCTTTTCGTAATATCCCTGGTGTTGAATTGGTTAACGTTAGAAGATTAAATTTATTACAATTGGCACCCGGTGGTCACATTGGTAGATTTGTTATTTGGTCTCAAGGGGCTTTTGCTCTATTGGATGATTTGTTTGGAACTTACAAAAAACCCGCTACTCTCAAAAAAGATTATCGGTATGTATTATCATTTTGTCGTCATATATATGTGTGTCATATTTTTAAACAAATATTAACAAGATTATATATTATCACAGCCTTCCATCACACATTATTACCAATCCAGATGTTACCGGTCTTATCAATTCCAATGAAATTCAATCTGTACTTCGACCTGCTGGCGAAAAACATCAAAAACGTCCATATACTCAGAAGAAGAATCCTTTACGCAATAATGGTATTAAGATTCGTCTTAATCCTTATGCTAAAGTATTGCAAAGGGCTGAAATCATTGCAGCTGAAAAACGTAAGGCTGGTAAAATCCAAAAGAAGAAACCTCAATATAAAGCATCTACAAAGGTTTCTGAAAAGTAAGTATACTGTTTAATCTAATTTTCGATTTTTTAATTATTCTTATCCTTATTTATTTTTATTTTTATTTTTTTTAAAAAAAAATAGATACGTTAAAATCTTGTTGGATAATAATTGAGAAAAATATCATAATGATACAATTATAAAATGTATTTCGTCAACTTGTATATGTATATACATATATATGCTTTTAAAAAAATTTTTTATTAAAGGTTGTGATTATTGAGAAAAAAAATTATTTATCATTAATTAATGTTATTTTTTATTCATAAAGTAATTCATCACGAAAACAAATTTTCTCGTTTATTAATCGAATTCTTCAAAAATACAAAACAAATATAAATATATTTTTTTTTTAAGGCTCTCCCGGACCAACAAATTTCGATATTAGGTGCAATCTTATAATATAAAAATCTAGTGATTATAGACGACATTAAGAATTTATTATAATTTTTGCCAAATTTAAAAAAATTAAAATTATATAACGCACTTTATATTTTTTTTTAACAGTAAATTTTACGTATTTAAATGATATAAAAAATTAACAACCTAATTTCCAATATTAAACTTATTAATTAAAAATTATATAATAATATTTTAAGCGACTCTCAATTCATTAGCAATTACTATAAGAATTAAATCATGGGTACGACAGCCACCTACCTTTCTGAGATTCTATAAAGATGATAACATTTAAGCCTTCCCGATCATGTGTAAGAATACCCTGATACCGGGCAGAGGTAATAGTGATCCAGATATGGTGTTAGTAAATACAGGGAAAATTGACAAAGTACCTGTGGCTGAAAGTGATCCCTCTATCTAAAAAAAGTGATAGTGGTTCGGAAGTCTAGGGACTCTGAGGGTAAGGCTCTTGGAGATGTCTACCTAGGTGGCAATCTTCTGACCAGTAGTACGATGTGAATTAGGGCTGATAATTAAGTCAGTCAAGATCTTTCCAGTATAGTGTCGGCCTAGAGTAAGGTTCATACATGACTTGCGCGTGTTTGACTCCTTCGCTATTCATGATCTCACTTGGATATATCGACTACTGAAAAAAAAAAAAAAAAAAAAATCAAATATTGATTAATATTATAAAATACTAAATATTTATATTCGTAACTATAAGATTAAATTCATATATAAAAAATTTTATTTATTATAAAAAAAATCAACAAATATAATTAATATAATAAATAATCAATCTTATATTACAATTTTAAAATAAAAATAATATTATTAATATTACTTTAATAATTAAAAATAGCAATTTATGAAAAATTTAATTAATATTTTATCTATTTTATATTATTGTTTAGTGCAAAAATGTAGATATACAAAAATTATTAATTAATTTATAATTGGTTAAATTATTTATTTAACTAGTTAATTAATTATTAAAATTAATACTAAATTTAGTCAGAGTTAAAAAATATTGTTATAATAATTTCTGTTAGAATTAAATTTATCTATTTTAACTGGTTAAATATATTAACTATTTTAATCACTTAATTAACAAGTTAAAAATTAACCAGTTACAATCTCTAATTAGTATTATTTATATTTAATAAAAGAAATATATTTGCAAGTTTATTATTAGAATTATCTTCTAAATGACAAATACTTAAAAATGAATACAGTCGTCCCCCCTTATAGTCACACCTGTCGGGACCACAAAACTGTGTGGTTATAAAGAGGTGTGCTTATAGGCTTATAATCACAGTATATATAAAAATTTGCATAAATGTGACAATAATTTTGTACTATATATAGATTATTAATCAATTATATAAAATTTATTATTTTTCCGTCATAGGCTTCGGGTTTCCACAATCTTAACTTTAATAATCTGGTCACCAATTTTTCGAACTAAGGTTTTACCGAGTAATTTTTGGGCTAATTCGGTAGCGTGAACAGTGAAAAAATTAGGGTCGGCGATACGCATAATAATTTTATTTTATCGAAAGTTGAATTTTTAGCATTTATTTCAAACCTTTTCAAATGTTTTTAA